TAGATAGATAGATAGATAGATAGATAGATAGATAGATAGATAATGATAGATGGATGGATGGATAGATGATAGATAGATAGATAGATAGATAGATAATGATAGATGGATGGATGGATAGATGATAGATAGATAGATAGATAGATAGATAATGATAGATGGATGGATGGATAGATGATAGATAGATAGATAGATAGATAGATAATGATAGATGGATGGATGGATAGATGATAGATAGATAGATAGATAGATAGATAATGATAGATGGATGGATGGATAGATGATAGATAGATAGATAGATAGATAGATAATGATAGATGGATGGATGGATAGATGATAGATAGATAGATAGATAGATAGATAATGATAGATGGATGGATGGATAGATGATAGATAGATAGATAGATAGATAGATGATGGATGATAGATGAATAAATAAATAACAAAAAACTTCAAGGTAAACCGAAGCTAAGAAAAGCAAAGGAAGCAGAATAGAAAGCATCACCAGTTAGAGTTCTTTGTTGCAAATTACAAAACTGACTCTGTTTAACTCAAACTCCAGTCATAGAGCAATCACAAGGCTTACACAATCAGAGGGCAAAACAATGGAAGCCCGGTGGCCTAAGTCATAGATCACTCTACTTACATGAAAGTTCTCCACACAAACCCTTAGTTAAATTTGGACCACAGAATGTTAAATTTGTGACTTAAGTCATCTATTTGAAACTCTTCAAATGAGGAAACAGACTGTGGGAAAGAAAGTCTGGCCCTGTGAAATGGCTCAGGGGATAAAGGTGCTTGCCATCAAGCCTAGAAACCTGAGTTCAATCCTTGGGACTCACATGGTAGAAGGAGAGAACTGACTCCGACTGGTTGTCCTCTGGCCCCCATATCTGGCACACTTCCCTGTACACACACACAAAAATAAGTAACTAAATATAATTTTTAATTAAATATAATTTAACTTTTTTAAAGTCTTGCCTTCATATATACATAAATTGACAGTTTTTTTCAAGCTATGTATAATCTATGAAGAAATTTTCAAAACAGGTAGAAAGATAGTTTATAAAGTGAGTAATTAACACAAAATAAGTAAATATATGTAATTTAAATTTAAGTTTTGCCTTCATACAAACACAAATTGATGTTTTTCAAACCATGCATAATGAATAGATGAAAAAAAATTTCAAAACTGAAGGTAGAAAAATAGTTTATAGAGTGAGGAATTACACACAGATTGAGTAGGAAAGGATATTTAAGTGGGGTGAACAACATCAAGTGCATTTTGTTGGTTTGTTGTTTTTTTTTTCCAGAGTTTCTTGTCAAAAAAAATATTTTGATAAGCAGAGTTCATTCTGCAAAATGGGACAATTGATTCAGGCAAGCTTCATCAATGATTGCTAACCCGGTGGCTGAAAGGTTGTTGTGGGTAATCATAGTCTCAAACCCTGAAGATTATTGTTAATTAAAGGGGGAAGAAGGGATCGGGAGTGGTTTCAATGCCCAGCGCCATACTACACAAAAATATATAATAGAGAAAGCTGAGAATTATTATTTAGCCATCTCATGGAACTTAACATAGCCAGTCATGGTAACGGAATACGTTATGAAACAGCTTACCTGAACTTTTCTAAAATGTCAACATTCTGAAAGATGAAAGAATCATTCTAACGCTAGATTTTAAAAGATTAAAACTGTGTGGCCACTAATTTTATTCACATATTTGATTGATTTCTCTATTCAATAAAAAAACCTTAAGCTACATTATTGAGACAAATACACAAATTTTTAAAGCATCACTGTTAAATTTCTTTGGTCTGTTTATATAAAAAATGTTCTCTGGAGAGAATTAAGCAACAGTATTCAAATGTTGCATCAAAATGTCTACACAGTGCTGGAAAGATGTCTCAGTGGTTAAGAGCACTGGCTGCTCTTGCAAAGGACCAGGCTTGGGTTCCCAGCACCCACATGGGGGCTAACAACCATCCGTAACTCAATTTCTAGGGGATCTGACACTCTCTTCTGACCTCCCCAGGCATTGTACAACATGGGTGCACTTACAGACATGCAGGCAGTACGCTCATACACATAAAATAAAATTAGTAAACATTTTTAAGTGTCTACACACAGCCAGATGCAGTGGCCCACAGCTATAATCCTAGCACTCTAGAGGATGAAGCAGGAGGATTACAAGTTTGAGACCAATCAGGGGCATATAGTGAGCTCAGGCCAGCCTTGGCTACAGAGTGAGACCCTGTCTCAAAAAAGAAAAGCAAAACAAGAAAACTGTACACACAGAGTGGTTATGTGAAAAAAATGCTAACAGTGAATTTAGGTGAGGTTATTTTAGTTTGAAATTTTTCAAAGAAAATTGAAGACGAAGGATTTTTCCCCATTTTCATCATAGAATGAGAAGTTTGAAAACTTTGATTAAATAAATTTACTAAATTCCATGTACCCATCACATAGCTTCAGCAACTATCAACACATACCAATTTTGCTTCATCTACCCAGTCCTGACAAACATTGGACTTTTTTTAGTAGATCATAGACATAATTTTGTTTGCAAATGTTTAAGGGTCATCCTCTTAAAAACAAAGAGGTGCAGGCAGATTTAGAGACAGCTCAGCGGTTAAAAGCACATATTACTCTTGCAGAGAACTTGAGTTTGATCCCCAGCACCCCTGTCAGGCAGCTCACAACTGCCTGTAACTTCAGCTCCAGGGGATCCAATGCTCTCTTCTGAACTCCTTAGATACCTGCCCTCATACATGCACACACACACACACATACACACACACACATACACACACACACAGATTTTTCAC